GTTGTGCTGACACTTGAGGTTGGTGGCTGGGTCGCATTTGTCGTTGGAGAAACGGTTGTGCTGACACTTGAGGTTGGTGGCTGGGTCGCATTTGTTGGAGAAACGGTTGTGCTGACATTTGAGTTTACAGGTTCATTTTGGATTTGGATATTTCTCCTGATGCGTTCATGTTTGATCCAGTCTGTACCTACTCCAATAGCACGTATTTGTTTTGATGCCACGACGAGTTCTTTTATTAAGGACGAATGCTGCAAAACAACTGCAGATTGAACTTTTTTGAGTAATCTTCCGTTATGAACGTCGAGCTTGTGGTTATGTAGCTCATTTTCGAGGAACGTCTGGTCCCTGGCAGTGGTAAACACTATGAGGTCCTAAAACAAATATGGATATACTATTACTTTCTCCAAGGATTTAAGAAAATTCATTATCTATATAATAATATTGATGATGATAATCATCATATCTATGAAATGCGTTTTTGTCACTCGGTAAAGATCTATATGTTAAGTGTATGCTACATCGTAAAGCCTCAGTGGCCAAGCGGTTGAGATCTCGTCTATAGCAAATGAGAGGTCAGTGGTTCGAGTCCCGCGAGAACATCATATTGTCAGTGTCTATATATCTGAATTTTATTTCTGACAGGCAGACCACTAAGATATTTAGTTTGGTGTATTTTTCACCTTGGAAATTTCAAGTCAATATCTATAGACATTTATTTCACTACATTTATAAAACGAAATTAAACAGGAATGAATGGGAAGATTGTGGGAACATACCCAATGAACCTTTCCTAGATCTGCGCCTGGTCCTATCACTAATATGCAACATATAATACAATACGAAATAATTAAATATTTATACTTACAGAGAGCAGAAGGACATTTGCTATTTTATTCATGCTTCCTTCATCCTTTTGCTGAAAGTTCATAACATCTTCCAAAACTGATAATATCTTTACATCTGAAAAAAGCTTTCCTATGGAAAAAGTAGGTGTTAAATTTAATTAGTTTTAATCTTGAGATACTTTGAGAATGGATATCATGTATGGTGTCAATTACAGGGACAACATTAAATGAATGTCTCAGGGGCAGTAGAGATTGGAGAGGAGGTGGCCCCACCAGCACGAGGTGGTATTATATGCTAGTCTAACTTATTTTAATCTGCAATTTCAAGAGTATGCTGTATTCCTGGTATCTGATTCATTAGTCTACACTCAACTTTAAAATCCTTGTTGGGTTCAAGGAATATGGAAACTGAGATGGAAAAGTATTCTGGTAAATGGCATAATTATCTTCTGATTTATTCATTTGTGCTACATATATAAAATGCCAACAGCATATTCAAAAAGGGTTTGAAAGAGCAGTTTGGCATAAACATTCCACCAGTCATCACAACTTAAATCTCATTGAAGCACTTCCCATAACAAGGCTGTAGCCATTATGAGGCAATCAAGGCAGCAGTAAAATGTCACAAATGCCTCTCAAAACTCTGTAAATTGTACTTCTGAGGGTCTCAAAAACAACATTTTTAAATGAACATTTTTAAAGATGCATGTCTCTGAACCCCCTTAACTGCTTCTGCCTTTGCCATTCATTTGCCACTGTAAACAATTTGGTCTAATACATATGCACACCATTTTCGTTTCAGCTCAGTCTTTGTCCTAAGTTTTGAACCTGAGGACAGTTTTCAAATTAAGTGTATGCTTATTGTTATTTCATTGAATTTACCTTTTCTCCTGGCTGTGACAATATGATAGGGCAACCCAACATCTTGTGAAAAACAAAGTATCATCTCTGGTTTATTCCTGGATAGCCATTTTATGATCTGATTTTCATCTTGAACAGTAACAATTCGGCTTCTACCATTGAGTGGAGAATCATCTTGCATACTTGGACTAAAATGAAGTGACATATAAAAATCATTAAAGCAAATGTCAAAGCTAAAAATCCCAGAAGCAAGAGACTTCTGTAATTCAGGGTAATATCTATTGAGTCATGTGTATATATACCTTACCCTCTCCCCTGTTAGGGACTGGTCAACATTAAATACGGGAGGGGGGACGGTGGTTGGTAAATTCCCCAAAAAAGTATTTTTTTTCAGGGAGCCCCTAAGAAACAAAAAAAAATCCAGGACGCCGCAAAATATAGTGAAAGTTTCCAATATAAAACTTCGCAACACCCCCTAATTTCATTAAGGTGAGCTTCACGCCGCCCACATTTCTCAACCCCTAATTCTCATCCCCCCCCCTGTAATTAATGACCAGCCCCTTAGGGAGTTTTTGTGCACAGGCTGTTAATTTGTTACATAGCAATTTCCATTGCATGATGTTAGGGACTGTCCGTTTATCATGTCACAGGGGGGGCTGGTGGTTTTCATAGAAAGTATTGTTTTTAAAAAGTTACCCCCTCAAAAATAAAGTCTTTATAAATTTACCCCCCTCCCTCCCTCCTCAGACATAATTCTTACCCCCACCCCTCCCCACAGCAAAACGTGAGTACCAGTATCCTTCCTAAAGAAGAATCGCCAGGTTACCCTTTTTCAAGATGGCGAATTCAAAAGTCAAGAAAGAAGCTAACATCACTTAATTGGCAAGTAAAACGATCAGAGGTCAGAAACAAATCTCTAAGGGGAATGTTTATTAGAAGTTCTTTACAGTCTCTCAACGTTCAAGATCTGCTTGTTTGAGGAAATTCTGAATTCCATCACTATTCACATTGACCGCCATATTGGATTTAGGCACCACAGGAATCCCAAATCAAACACAGGAACACCAAATCCAACTTAGGAGCCCCAGATCAAACAAACCCATAGAATATATATTTTTTTATATTGATTTTACGATTTTGTTTTCAATTTCTTTTCTATTCAGTCGTACTTTGTTGTTCTTCCTAATTTACATTTTCCCCTCATTTTAAAAAATGCCCCCCCCCCTTAAATAAACTTTCAAAATCAAATTCTACCCCCCAAAAAAACAATTTTCATAAAATTTACCCCCCCACAAAAAACACCAGCCCCCCTGTGACATAATAAACGAACAGTCCCTTGTCAGGGATGCCTATATTAATGTGGAACTATACTGCTATAATGAGTCAATGAAAAATGATTATAAATCATATAATTTTTGGCCAAAATCTCACTAGAAAAGATAAATATTAAAGTACTAACAATGAAATATCGTAGCTCATCTATCAAAAAAATTAATGAAAGTTGAAGGCAGCATTGAAAAAACGAGTAATAAACAAAATATCGGAAGAATATATTAAAAATCGTTGAATAAATTAAAAACATTCGATTTCTCAATATTCTTCTGCCCACCACTACATAGCATTCCGGTAACGTCATAGATTCATTAGAGGTCTCAGTAAAAACTGTCAAAAATCAGACGTAAGTAAAACTGTCAAGAAAAATAAATGACACCTGCTTTATTAAGTCTCAATACAGGATATGCTGTTTAATAAAGCTATTAAAATGCATGCATCTCGCTTTCAATGATAGAACACAAGGGCAATATTATCGATAACAATGTTATTTCTCACTCGACGTTTCACAGTGAAACTGCTAAAAATAACACGGCATTAGACATAGGAACTGAAAGCAGAAAAGGAATGCTTTTAAAAATAACAGTTTCGTGCGAAAGAACACTTCAGATTGGTTCGTTGCTACAACTAAAACTCATTGTTTAGTGAGCGGTATTTATTCATCCGTCTCATACAAATAACGTTGCCAAAATAACCCACTAAAACATATTGTTTTCGAATAAATTCTATATTTCAGATATTAACTCAAAATTACTCACTTCAGCTGCCTTAGGTCACATCGAAAATTGTTTAAATTTTGCTTTCACGTTTGTGTATTTTTTTCTATATGCGAGATGAAATGATGTAGTGAATAAATTCCTCTCTCGGATGACCTCTGTCGCAGGTCGGAATAAGTCAAAATTCACGTTATCTAACTTATTTACCTCGTGTTTTCATCCAAGACGACTATATCGAAAGCGTAATGGCCAGCTTCGGTTACTTGCTCCGACAGTTCTCGTATTCTTGTAAGTCCAAAGCCAGAAGAATTGGAGGGACCAACAACAGCAGAAATTCTTTCTAAACCTCTGGAAGCAGAGGCGAAACTTGATACTGTAAAAGATAGAGAATGTATAAAATGAGTTTGCAGCTACACGCGATAAGTAATTCCACAAGACAATCAATAGTGTGCTTCAGTCCATAATATTGTTAACTTTATTAGACATAAAAAAGGGGACACATTTCGTGAAATACTTCTTATGAAATTAAGTAAATTAATTGAGCCAGCAGGATAGTGGAGTTTAACCACTTTAACCAAACTGGCTTTTTGCAAACATTTAGCCATCGAAGAAAAACTAGGACTTCAATTTGCAATATGAATCCCAGGTTTATCCAACATAATCTCCCGAAGTCACATTATAATGTTAAACACAACAACTTTACAATGAATTACTCACCAAAGACAATAAAAGATACGTGGAAGGTCAGAGCTTGTGCTGTAGTCATCTTGGCTTTCTATACTTAATACTAATAAGATATTCAAACTTTGAATTTATAATATATTCTAGCTATGTCAATAAAGTTCATCTACAGTTGGAAAGTAAAAGTCCAAGGAAGCTCATTGGATGTAGAACTCTGCATGCGCAGCTCTCGATGAGTGAATATACAACTAGTATTTCAAAACCCAGCCTCACATGCACTACATGTCAGAGGGCTCGTGTTTCTGGCGTTTGTCACAGCTATTTCCATCCGTCAGTCACATTCTAATATTGGCCAAACAGCTGCCAAGCAAAACCGTTTAGCCGTCTACTGTGACTTGTGACACATTACTAATAGTTGCCAAGAGAACAAGACAATGGAAAGAATTTCTTGTTTACTTACAGCCCATGAAATATTACGTTATTGCAAAAACATCATAAACCTGCGAACTAACTCTGTATCTCCGAGTTGCAACCAGCTGAAATTTGGCTTTTCGCTGCCGTCAATCAAACCTAATCAAAGTGATATATTACACCTCCTATTTTAAAAATTATGCGACCTGTGTAGTTGGCACTTGAAAGGAACGGTATTTATTGTGTTTTGGCTGCCGTCAATCAAACTTCGGACGATTATTCGTTTTCTTTCAAAAAAAGCCCAAAATGATATTAAGGTTTCAACCGTTTGAATATTACAGAAAGAAAGACAAGTTTGCTTCGTTTCAGAATTTACAAAGCAAGGATTTCGCAAGAGCAAGCCGTTTTCAATTCATGTTTGATTGACGGCAACCAAAACACAGAAAACGAGACGAATCGTGGAGAGCGATAGTCTCCCCCACAGCCGCTTTCAGTGTCGTCACGCAACGCTTTCTCTCCTGACACTGAAAGCGGCTGTGGGGGAGACTAATGAGAGCGCCGGTCGCATAATTTTGAAAATAGGTGTAAAATAAATAAATGATTTATTACGAGAAGCGAAACTTGATATTAAATATTTTGGGGTAAAATTACATTGCTAGGTAAATGGAGCTTCAAGTTAAGATATAGCTAATTAGGAATTTACTAGCCATTTTTTTAAAATGTTCGATAATAAATAAACTGTTTTTGTTACAGTATAAGCACAGTCTTGCATGGCAATATAATATTTCAGCAAGAGAATGCGAAAAACAAAAAAAATTCTGAAAAACTACTTAGAACCTAGCAAGGTTTGGCGGTATATGGTTTTTTGGATGATGTTCAATTATCTGACAAGTTTTTTGCCTGCTAAACCATAAGAAAACATAGATTTTGTTTAATGTTTGTTTATAGGTTTTAACGTGGGATGTGTTTGTATTGGTTAAGGTATAGCCAAACTAATTCAGAGTGAATTTTGGACAATGTGCTTGGATTGTCCTAGATTCTAACAGTCAGTATTTTATTCTAAGATTTTTTAAATGTGTAGCCTATTACGGCCGAAAACCAAACTACAGTGCTATTTTCGGTTCTTGGCTTTTTTCTCCTCATACAGTAAAGCAAAGTAAAGCTAAGCGATAAATTTTCAACCTGGCAACAAATTGAAGCAGGGGTCCCTCAAGGTTCAATCTTAGGCCCCTTGCTTTTCAATATCTTTATGAACGACCTCGCCTACGTAGTTAAAAACTGTGATCTCTCCGCCTACGAAGATGATACTCAACTTTTCGCTGCAGACACTAATCCACTCCGCGTTCAAGAAATGATTAATGAAGACTTGATCCGCGTTGATGAATGGTACCAAAGAAACGGAATGAAGCGAAATCCTTCTAAATATCAAGCAATGGTCATGGGTAATACTCGAACAAAGCCAACATTCTACTGTGAAGATAAAGTTATCCCAATTAAAGAAGAGCTAAACCTCCTTGGTGTAATTTTTGATGAGAAGCTAAAATATGACAAGCAAATAGCTAAAATAACTAGGAAAGTTTCTCAACAGATTGCTGTGTTAAAGCGTATGAAGAAGTTACTACCTATCCAGACAAGGAAAGACATATACCAACAGTTCATCTCACCACACTTCGATCACTGTTCCGATGTTTGGCAATTTTGTAGCAAAAACGCAACAGACAAGCTAGAGAAAGTAAATGAACGAGCAATCCGTTTCGTTTTTCAAGACAAGAACAGCTCGTATACTAATCTACTCAAAAAACTGGGATCCACTACTCTGTACGAGAGAAGACTCAAGAAGATTATACTAACTGTCTTCAAGGCCCTTCATAAAGACAACAGCCCAGAATCCATAAAGGAACTGCTGCAACACGAAAGTACAAGTTACAATCTAAGAGGAACGAACATTCTAAAACTGCCAAAAATCAATTCTACAAAGCAGGGCCTTAAATCATGGCGGTATATTTCTCCCAAAATATGGAACAGTCTACCAGAGAGCATGAGACGAGAAGTGAACATAAAAAGCTTCCTTAAAGAATTAAGAACATTGGAACTCGAAACCTTGTATAACTTACAGACATAATTATTAATATTTTATAAGACACTGTAAATAAATCGCATTTTATATTTTATATTAGTACGATATTGCATATTTATATATACTTAAAAAACTCATTAATAATTCATAAGCTTATGGTCCAATTGGAGCCACCATACACGTCACGTGCATGAACCTTTATACCCGATAAAGTCCTCTTCATTAGTATTCAAGTGATTTTATATAAAGACTCATATGTCTTTAAAGACTCATGTGTCTTTATATAAAGACACATGTGATCTTTATATAAAGACACATGTGATCTTTATATAAAGACCACTCGAATACTATGAGGATGACTTCATCAGGGATGAAGTATGCATCCAAGTTTAGATGAAGACATAGAGCTTCATCAAGGTCATAGTCAACCCTAAAGATCTTTGACTAACGTGCCTGTCTTTGCCTTGGCACGCAATATCCAACATGTGGGGGCTTCTATTGAATCTGGTTGTGCATGCCCGTGACGTCAAATCTCTATCGAAGTATAAAAATCCATGTTCGTGACGTGTATGGTGGCTCCAGTTGAACCAATTGAAAATCTTATAAATTGTTCATGAGTGTTTTAAGCAGTTCAAAAAACTCGTAGATCGTGTTTTATCAGGTATAAAAGTACTCGGCTACGCCTCGTGCTTTTATACCTGATAAAACACTCCTACTCGTTTATCAAACAGTACATATATTTTATCCTATTCATATTCTATCATAATTTTAACTTAATTTATTTTCTAGATTTATTATATTTTATTTTGTGGCACTACCTGCAAATTAGCAAAATATCCTATATATTGAGCTAAGTGTATTTTTGACCACGTTAAATAAAGTTATTGTATTGTATTGTAGTATACTCAGTAACCTATAGGTACACCTCACTTTAAAAAACGTTTCCTCTAAAATTTGGATAGGCCTAGGATGAGCTGTAGTTCCATCTAGATAAAGCTCTGGTCTATTGATCTAGGAAGTTTGAAGAAAAAACTTGAAGCCGTTTTTAAAAAGAAAACGGCGAAAAAGTGAAACTCTTATATTTGAGGTTTACAACGACTAACGACAATTAGTAAAAAAAAAAATGTTCGATGGGTTTTTAAGATTTGATGCTGATTTTTTAAAAAGCTCATCCGCAATACTTGGATATAGACATGTTAAAACTTCCAGGCAATCCATTCAATGGTAATGTTTCTACATAGCGATGTTTTATATGATTCACATTTTGGATAGAATTTTTCAAGCGGCGCTCATAACTTTTTTCTGCCCTATAGACTTTCCCAGCATCAAAATTTATACACAGGCTGCATTAGTACTAGATGAGAAGATTCTGAAAATCCCAAACAATGGTTAAGGCTATTCCTCATGCAGTGTGGAGTTTTTAATAGAATTTAACTGTTGTAAAACAAAACGTTTGGTACTGAATAATCATTTGCTGTAAGCAGTCGTTGATCCCTCACATCCTGAGTGCTACTAGTAAGTGAAGAGGCTGATGGCGAACTGTCGATTGCCAACATCTCTACATCCCTCCAACATAGTTTTTTCGTTTATATAATAAAAAATTTCTAAGAGGTTTTTAATGAACTTTAATTCTAATAACGATTATACACCCTTTGCCAAAATGGCGGCCGCAAATTCGAATGAGTTAAAATTAAACTGAGTGAAAAACCAATACCAGCACTGGAAAGAGCACCTTTATTTTAGTAGCCCTACGAAGATTCATTATGTCAGGTGTTAGAGGGACGTTGCTAAAACAGGGAATGGGGAATGGGGAATGACAGGGAATGGGGAATGGGGAATGACAGGGAATGGGGAATGGGGAATGACAGGGAATGGGGAATGGGGAATGACAGGGAATGGGGAATGACAGGGAATGGGGAATGGGGAATG